CCATACAAACTATCTCACATTACAGCCAACTAATCAGTGCTTAATCATTCCTAAACAAACGGCCTTGGGCTTCACTTTTCAGTCTGCCACAAGGACATTACTGAAATTCATGGCAGCTCCTGGACATCTAGCACCCATGAGACCCTCAAACTCCCTCCAGTCCTACATTTCTATACCCTGTCCTAACTGCTCAAAGGGCAGGTTTTAAGAAAGAAATTTTGCCTTCCAAGAAGAGCTCAAAAATTCTGTAAGTAGGAAAAGAAGAGAATCAAATTTTTTCATGCTTAGGGACATGTGTTAATACTGAAAAGGCCCAATTAATTCTCATGCCACTAAGACTCTGATGAATCCAGCCGCAACAACCACCTATTGCATACAGGTATTTCAAGAAATGACTGTTCTGTATTTAACTTCAGCATGTACATGTACACTCAAACGAAAGAACAGAAAAGATTTCTCAGTCATGAATTTTTCAGCTATAAAACATCCTGGCTGTGACAGTTTGCCTGAGTCCTCCAACTATGTTATTTAGGAAGAGGGAAGAGAGTTTCCATTTTGTAGTAGCTTTGAGCATTTTAGAATAAATCATCCAATGATTCCTGAGCCTGGATTGAAAGAATTCTCTGCTGCTTTGTTGTCTGTAGTGTTGTCCTTATCAGAGACACACAGTTCCAAGAAATTATCGTAGCTAGTGGAAACAGAGTGTTCATTCATAGAACAAATATTTATTAAGCACCTACTCTTTGCCAAGAAATATATTAAGTGCTGAGAATATAGTGGTGAGTAAGCCCGAAAAAAAAAAAAAAGTCCTTGCCTTTATAGCATTTTACACTCTAGTTTTAGGAGGACGTTGGATTCTGCTTCTATTCTCACATAAGCCGATTATCATTGCTTCCTTAAATGGTGAGAATATAGAATCTTCCAGGTGCATGGTGACAAGTGGGAAAGAATGAAAATCTTTCACTGCACAGCTCAGCATGCTTATCTTACTGCTCCTGGTAGAACTAAAGTGGCACTAAGCTCCACAGAAGGACTGAGAGAAAAATAAAAAAAAGTTCCCCACACATGAGAAAACAAGATAGGTAGCAGAACTAATTTTAAATTGGGACATTTGGAAAATTCTTCAAAATTCTAGCAACAGTCACGCAATGGAATAAGTCACGCATGGAGAGTAAGATCAGGCTCTAGCATGGCTTATTATTTCATAGACTTGACTCATCTGCCAAGTATCATGCTCCCTACCCATGTATAGTATAATGACATAAGGCAAACTTACACTAAACAAAAGGTATGTGATAAGGAGATACATGATATGCCTGTTTGGTCACAGTAAGTTGTCTAAAAAGGATTTTTCTCAGTGTCAGACTCAACATTACAACTATTTTACTAAGATTTGTCCATTAATAAACTGCGGTTTGTCCATACTACAGAATGTCCGTAGTATAGAATACTATGCAACCATTGCAAATAGAGAAGTAGATCTATACATTAACATGGAAAGAGTTCCAATATATACTGTTAGGAGAAAAAGAAAGATAAACTAATATAAATAGTATGAAACTTTTTTTTGTTTTTAACTTCCCAAGACAATATCTCATTTCTAAATTAAAAAAAAAAAAGGTCTGGAAAGACTTACAAAAACAGATAACAGTGATTGTACTTCTCAGAAGATGATAAGGGACCAAGATGGGGATTTAGCATTATGTAAAATGTTGTAATTTTCTATAAGGAAATCATATTCATGTATTAACCACTTCATTAAAAATTAACTAAAAAGAATTAAAATTGTCTTTATTATGCTAGAGAAACTATCTGAACAATCAACATCTTTCTCACTATAATAGCATGAATATATACAACTGAATGGTGAATTACATTAAAGCTAAGTCAAATTCCTTATTGCATTTATATTTTTCTTTCCAAAGTTTGTTTATTATTTTTAATCTAAAAAAATGAGGATCTAAAAATATATATTCAAGTAAAAACATATGGTTTTGATCATCTTGTCTGTAACATTACAAATCATGGTAAATTCCAACCCTTTGGACTTTATCCTAAAGATGTGCTTGCAAAAAAGTAATGTACATACAAGGATAGTCATTATAGAATTATTTGGTCTATTGTTATTACAGTAAAATATTATTTACAATCAAAATGCCTATCAATAGGGGAACTGGTTAACTAAAGAGGAATACTTTGCAGGACTACTAGATACCAATATGTAATACTGATACAAAAAAAAAAAAAATAGCACTTTAATTGTATATAATACAAAGGAAGTCTTGCTATATAGAAAATTTGGAAAGCATTAAATCAAGCATTAAATGCCCTTCTGCCATTGTGTCTACAAAAAAATACAGAATCATTAAAGATAAGGTATAGTATCTCTTTAGCCCCAACAACTTTGCACATAGGTATAGCAGTAGGCCTAAGAATGAAATAGACAAGTGATCAAAGAAATATGAGGAATAGCACGGGGCGGGGGGAACAGACCAAAACAAAAAGTATACTGAAGAGGGAAAGGGGTGTGGAACAGAAAGGGCAACAGTGTCTACCGATCTAGGAATCATAGAATCACTGGCCTAGGAATCATATAATCACTCCAGAACATAAGAAATTGGCAGTCTATATTTGTAGAACAATAAATATTTCCACATATATTACATAATACAATCTTCATAACAATATTAAAAACCAAACCCATTGCCGTCAAGTCGATTCCAGCTCATAGCAACCCTATAGGACAGAGCAGAACTGCCCCATAGGGTTTCCAAGGGTCGGCTGGTGGATTCAAACTGCTGACTTTCTGGTTAGCAGCTAAGCTCTTAACTACTTCACCACCAGAGCTCCTCATAACAATATAGTGAGAATTAATTCCATTTTATGGAAAGAAACTGAAGTTCTGAGAAGGTAAGGGAATTACCAAAAGCCACACAGCTAATAAGTGACAAAGTTGAGATCTTTGAACTTCAAGCCCAAAGTTCTTTCCAGTGTGCCACTGCTGCTATAGACTGTCCCTCAAGTTGTCAATAAGTTTCAAATAACCATGAAAATACCAAGACAAATATATAATCAATATAAACATAGTAAACTACTTTTTTTTCCTCTGGAAAAACTAACTATGAAAAAGAAAAAAGGTCTAATTTATCCTTTCAAAATCAACAGAATGGAGTGGGGGAGGGCAGTACAAAGGAGGGCATGGTAAATAAAGGGCAACACGAGGAAGCCTTGTGGTGTTGGCGTATCCTGATGGTGGTGGTGGTGGTGTACACAAACCTACACATGTGATAAAACTGTATAGAACTTAGTACATACACAAACACAAGTACAAGTAAAACTGGAAACCTGAATAAAACCGAAAAAACCAAACCCATTGCCGTGGAGTCAATTGCGACTCATAGCGACCTATAGGACAGAGCAGAACTGCCCCATGGGGTTTCCAAGTTGCTGCTGGTGGATTCAAACTGCCGACGTTTTGGTTAGCAGCCAAGCTCTTAACCACAGCACCACCAGAAAATCTGAATAAGATCTATGAATTGTACCACTGTCAATCTCCTGGTTGTGATATCGTACTATAGTTTTGCAAAATATCACCCTTTTGGAGAAAGTGGGTAAAGGATTCACAGGATCTCTCTGTATTATTAGTTTCAACTGCATATGAATATGAATTATCTCAATAACTAATTCATTTTAAAAAATAAACAGAATATTCACACCACCAACACTAATTTTGAAATAGGATAGTGATATTATGTACACATACGGGAACATACAGTCATTCAAAGCAGATTTCATTATAGTGAGACATAATCCATGAAATTAAAAAATTTTTAATTATAGTTTCAAGCCAGAGATAATAATTTTGAATAGCTTAGGAGATAATGTCTTAAAAGTGACAGCCAGATCATTCTAGTCATGCAAATCATAAGACCTAAGGGGAAGGAAAGTCAGGAAGGGGAAGAAAAAAATTTTTGTACTAAGACAAAGGGCTGCTTAAGAATTTCATCTCAAAAGATCAACTAATCTAATACTAGAAGTATAAACCAGCAATTCGATAAGATAATCAGAGAATTATGATGATAATTATGGGATGCACCAAGAATTGTCTAATAATGGCCCACATAAATCACAGCCTCTTCTAATCCATTACCAGAAGAACTAGATGGTGCCCGGCTACCACTACCGGGACCACAGTAGAAGACCCCAGTTAGAATGGGTAAAAAATGTGGAACAAAATTCAAATTCAAGGAAAAAAAAAAAAAGACCAGACTTATTGGTCTGAAAGAGACTACTGGCCTGAGACAACCTTCTACCTTGAAACTGAAGACACTCACAGAGGCCACCTTTCAGCCAAATAATAGACAGGACTGTAGAATAAACAATAACACCCGTGAGGTATGTGCTTCCTGACACAATCAGCTGTACGAGACCCAAAGGACAATATTTGCCCAAAACCAAAGATGAGAAGGCAGGGAGGGACAGATAAACCTGATAAATGGAAACAGGGAACCCAGGGAGTAAGTAAATGGGGAGAGTGCTGACACATTGCAGGGATTACAACCAATGTCATGGAACAATTTGTGTATGAATTGATTGGAAAACTAATTTGCTATGTAAACTTTCACCTAAAGCACAATAAAATGTTCCAAAAAACTGGCTAATAATAATTTATTTTCATCACAATAGCTACTACTTTCAATCTAATCGCTACTATTTATCAAGCACTTTCTATGTGCCTAGCGTACATGATCAGAAATCCTCACAACAACCCTGAAAGGTAAAATGCAGAAAATGATGGATCTCATGTAATTTACCCAAGGCTACACAGTTGGAAAGTAGCAGAGTGTGACTCTGAACCTAGATTTTTCTCACTCTAAAGCTTGTGTAGTGTTCACTGTTCTATACTGCACAGGAAAGAAATATCTTGATATTCTGGCGCTTGACTGTAGGATGAGAAAAAAATATCCAGTAGGGGAAAATAACATTGAAATTATGCTGACCTGCTTGTAAGTTCCATCTAGCAAGGTATCCAAGTGTTGGAGTGGGGCAGGTGTTTTATCTTTGAACCTTGTTAATAGTCGTCTTTGAATGGCCCGAAACTGTACCGCTCTTTCAGATAACAGTTCTTCTAATTTTTCACCATTTATCCGCAGCTACAAAGAAGATTTCTTAAATTCAGATTAAATGTGTACAACAAAACACACTCAAAGATACAGGCAATGACAAATGTTTGAAAAAGAGCAATGAAGAGATTTAAACATATTATTTAAATCAAATAATATGTTTCATAATTAAAACAGTGTGGTATCGGTACATGAATACATGGGTAGTACAGTGGAATAGATCAAATGGGAATATTGTAAAAATGCCAGTATTGCTAAGGAAAAGCTAGATTATTTAATGAATGTTTTTAGGATAACTGATTAAGGATCTAGAGGGAAAAAAGAACAGGAATTTCTCCTCTATTCTTTGCAGTAAAAATCAATTGCAGAGGGATGAAAAGTTTAAACACAATAAAAGCACTAGAAAAAAATAGCACTTTTTTTATAATCTTGGTACAGGAAAGGCCTTCATAAGTATGAATGAAAAGCCAAAAGCCCCCTACCTGATTCCACACACACACACAAAGCTAATAAAGTGCTAACTAAAAAAAATGTTTAATTCTACATGGTTAAAAAAAAAAAAAGCTACAAGAAAGTGATAGAAAAACAGCAAGCTGCAAAAAAAAAAAAAATGTATATCAAAGACAAAAGGTTATGCCCATATCAAAAAGAAAATATTATAGAAACATGTCAGGAAGTTAATTACTAAAAAATAATGTGCAATTTTCCTCAATTTGTGATTTTTTTGTAGCTGCCAATTTTTTAAAATTCTTTCTCATGATTTATTTTCTCATTTTGAATATTCATTATTGTACCTATAAAAAAAAAAAAAAGCTATGCCCATAATATCTAGAAGACATCTACAAATCAGTGAGAAAAGGATCATACCCAATACAAATCATCAAGAAAGACAGCAATAATCCAATAGAAAAATGGGCAAATTTTATGAAACAGTTAATATAATATAAATAACTCTTTGACCTAGCAATGCACATGTAGGAATTTATCCTAAAGATATGCCTGCAAAAAAATAATGTGCATACAAGAATGAGGGAAAAGCCAAATAACTTCAATTTACTTGATAATGGCAGGATTATTCTTAATTGGATTTTATCACCCAAAATTTTCCCTTTCATTAACACTGCATTAAAAAAATTAGTCTTAATAGGTGAAAGTCAATGTTTTTAGAATGTTCAAGGGGTGACAGGCAAGTGATATGAGTGATATCCTCTCCCTCTCTCTGTCTCACTCTCTCTCTCACACACACACACACACACACACACACATATATACACACAAACATACACAATCATAGCTTATAAACCAAAATGCCTATTGATTCCTTAAAAAGTAGTCACTCTAGGGAGCCAATGTTTACTTGAATGATGGTCAAAATTCTTCTGAAATTCCCTTTTTGTAACTGTCTATGGAGTCTGTTTATAAGACAAATAAGTAAGTGGGCCTGGTGACTTTAACATATTAGGGCTTTTTTAAACAATGACTGTCATTGTCTAATCCTTGAAGGATGAAGATTTGACACTACAGAGATACTCAACAGAATCTCACACAGCCTCTGAAGGCATTTCCAAAGAGGAAATGCAGAACTATTCAGAGCAACAAAGTCACTGTCAGGTCTCATTTATTTAGATGCTTAATCACTCATCATTTACTAAGCATCCATTGTGCCAGGTACTGGAGAATATTTTAAGTGATTAACCCTCATTCAGATGCAGAAGTTCTGGTATGCTTGTTAAAAGAAAGAAAAATCACTTTACTTTATAATCACACCTCATTTATGGCCTGCTAGAATTGGTTAGCCAAATGGCTGCTGATAAGCTCAAATAGTTTTAACACTGGGTTATTGGGGTCAAGGGTTAAGTCCCCATGTGGGAGAATTAACTTGGCTGTTACAAGGCCAGACCACATGCTTAGCTCCAGGCAGCCACTCTATAAATGTCTGCAAATGATCACAAACTGGGCAAGACAGCAGGAAAGGATGCACAAAATCCACCATCCACATAAGAATAACATCTCAAAGCATGTGCATACTACATTAGAATTCTTCTGGTGGGCCTATGTAACTTCTCTTTCACATACTGAAAGATAACAGATGATGTAGCTTATGATCATAATATACCTCAAAATGATGATCAATTAATTCAAAATATTCTTGAAGGGGCACAGATCCAGAAAAAGAACATGCGAAGTCTTTGATTCCCTGTTTTTCAAAATATTCTTGAAGGCGAAGAATAAGCTCATTTGTTATGAGCCAAAGATCTTCAAATTGTTCACTCTGAATGCGATATCGCTCTAAGAGAAAAAATATTAAGGATAAATGCTCATTAACACATAATTACTAGCTGAAACTACATGAACTATCATTAACCCTGACATGAATACCAAAGCTAAAAGGACAAAAGCTACAAAGATTTCTTTTTTTGTAACACAGGTACGATTTCTACTGGCTTTATAAAAAATACTTCCACTACTTTATTGCTGTTTTATGCATCAACCAGTTAATATTTCAAATCAAATTTCAAAGGTACGTGGTCTCAGTGGCACGCTGTAGTGGCACGTTCCTTTTTTACTGTGTATCTTATAATAGGTTTCAGTATAATAAAAATATCCGGGTTTGGGTCCTTAAAAAAAAAAAAAAACACTACTTAAAAGGAAAGAAAACAGTCTGCAAATGTACAATCTGGCATCATTAGTTTATTTCAGAATACTGATGTGAAAGAAAATTTATTCTATAGAAAGCCCCACATCCTAGGTACTGTAGCCAGCTTAAATCCTCTTAGCTACTGCTTCAATCATGATCAAAATTTTCTAATAGTTCTTCTATTTGAAGAATGATTTTGTAGTCAGATCCTTCCCTAAATATAAATCTTGTTTCCTTCCAATCCTAAATCTGAAACCTCAGCTCTAGGAAAGTCAAACTCCTGACCACCCCCTACCCTGATGATGATGATGATGATGACAATGATAACGGCAGCAGCAACAGCAACATCTATGAGAGCAACTACCATTTATTGAGTACCAACTACATACCAAACACTGATTGCAACAATCTCTTTTTTATAAATGAGGTAAACAAGGCACTGAGAATTTCAGCAACTGGTCAAAGGTCACAAAACAAAATAAATGCCAGAATGAGGAATTCAATTCATGATATATGTCCTTCTTCACCATCTGTCAAAATCCTACTCATTCTCACAAGATTTGGCTTCAATCTCTCCTCTCCCAAGAATCTTTTATTTCTCTACCACCTACAGAAGGCTAATATGTGCCAGGTACTATCTTGAGCACTTTACATACACTCTCTCACTTAAATCTCAATAGCCCTACCGGGAAAATACTGTTATACCCCATTTACAGAGGAGGAAATCCATTTATAGAAGGGTTTAAGTGATTTGTAAGATTATCTAGCCAGTCAGAAACAGATAAGGGATTGGAACTCTAGCCATTAATTCAAAGACTAGCTATTTCTCTTAACCACCTCATAATACTGCATCTCTCTGAATTTTTATAGAGACTTAGGATGTCTACAGTTCACTAGGCACTTAACACATAAAGCCATGCATTATTATTTAAGTTGCCAGATGTTTATATTTAGTTCCTTCAAAGGAATTATACACTTTTTGAGACCTAGGATCTCAATTCTATTCAATTCACCATTTATTGATCACCTATTATGTACAATATCCTAAAGGAAGAAACGTTGACAGTACAAAGATGAACTCAGTCTTCTTGGTTAAGGAGCCTACAGTCTAGCTAGACTAACATGACACAGAGATGTGTGAAATATTTCTTTATATTTCCCATAATACCTTGGAAAATTCTATAAATGTATTATTACATGTTCAGATTGGTTATTAGGACTTCAACTGACATCTTGAGCCATTCCTCTAGGGCCTCCCCAGCCTTCCATTTCACCCCAATCTTATTCTATATATATAATATATATGTATATGTATATATATATATGTATATGTATATGTATGTATGTATATATATATGTATATATATACACACACACACCTATATATGTAGGTATGTATGATTTATTTTTGTTGTTGTTGAGAATATACGTAGAACATATACCAACTGAACAATTTCCACATGTACAATTCAGTGACATCGATTACATTCTCGAGGTGTGCAACCATTCTCACCCTCATTTTCCAAATTGTTCCTTCTTCATTAACATAAACTCACTGCCCCCTAAATTTTCTATCTAATCTTTCAAGTTGCTGTTGTCAATTTGATCCCATATAGACAGATTTGAAAAGAGCACAATGTTCAAGGCAGATATTTTTTACTAATTATGCTAAACTACTGTTTGGTTTCAACCCTTTCAAGACCCGTGGGACATACCATATCCCACCATTTATGCCTCTCGAATTCTCTGGAAAGGGGGTAACCCAATTTTAACGCATTTAGCCTTAAGGTAGGAACTTTTGAAATGTGTGAAAATCAGAAAACCTGAATGAGAGCCTCATTTTTTGTGTAGACTGAGCATTGTCTAAGGTGATGCCTCCCTGATGTGTGGATTTTCTAAACGTTTGACAGATTTGCCTTCATTTCTGTGAGATGAGCCTCCTCACTATGCTTCCCAATTACTATGTTCTCATGAGAATGTACTTATCATGAGAATAAGCTATTGCCTGCCTTCATTCAGTCATACTGGCCATTTTCTCCTTTATGCTATTCATTGATTCCAGGTGTTACTGGCTCCCTTCTTTTCTAGCTTCTGAACAGTAAATAACGCCTTTCCAATAAGGAATAATGCATTGCAGTGGTACTCTTCAAGAAGCTAGAATTCCTATAAGTTATTCTGACCCTGCATTCAATCTTAGGGCCCAATCATTGCTTCCACATGTAGCAGGTGGAATGCACCACTGTGAGCAGTTCTGTCGTACTCCAGGATAGCCATTTCTGCTTCTTAGCTTTTGTTATAACGAAGAAGACAGAGTAGTGGTAATTTTCCTGAGATTCAAATTCCTTTAGTTTTATTTATTTGGCCTGTAAGTATGCTTCTGCAGTGATGAAAAATGCATTGTAGTGATAATTTTCCTGAGATAAACAATCCCTTGGCTTTATTTATTTGGGCTGTAAGCAGTGCTTTTGCAGTAAGGAAGAATGCATTGTATCATGTTTTGAAAAGTTTCATGAAAAATAATAAAAAGGCTACGAAGAAGGAGACTAGAATAAAATGTATGTGCAGTCATTGTCAGGTGACTTCATGTTTTACCTCATGTTTTGCAACTTTTCAATAAATAAAATTTTTTTAAAAATTTTTAACCGATTTTATCATTGACTCATATTGGCAGGATTTATATCATCCAGAGGCTGCTAAGACACATGTGAGCCCAGATAATGGGCATTAAAATCCATAACTCATACCAAAAATTCTGAATTGGTCCTTTAATCAGCATGCCTTCATTAGTGAAAACACATAATATGGACAAAAAATTCAAAGGAGAAAATAACTGGGTCTTGATTAAGGAGGCTTCAGGGGATATTTTTGGTTTAAGGTTTAAAGATTTTATCAGGGCAATAATTTCAGGGGTTCATCCAGTCTCAATGGCTCCAGGCAGTCTGGATTCCATGAGAATTTAAAATTATGTTCTGCATTTTCCCCCTTTTGATCAGAATTCTTCCATAGAAACTTTAATCAAAATCTTATTTTTGATTGAATTATTCTTGACGCTGTTTTCTGCCCATGTTGCTGATCAGATTTTTTTCTTCATTTCTCCCCATTAAAGCTACTGGAACCAAGGTCAGAGATAACAGCCTTTATATTTCTTTGTAAACGTTACTGAAGAGTTTATGCTTTAGGAGAAGAATACAGAAAACACAATTACTGTGAGATAGGGGTAGGACAGTAGAGGGAGAATGATGACAACAAAGTATAGTATTCGAATGCTCTAAATCTAGAGTGCTATCCAAGCTAAGGCTGGGATCCAGTATCCTAAATCCAGACTGATATTTATTCACTCTTTTCTTCACTTATGTAACTCAGTGAAAGATGCTGGGGATAAAATCATGATGAGGCAAGACTTTATGACCTAAATGAGCTCACAGTAGCTACCCCATTAGAGTTGACCTTGCTACAGAGGTGTCAAGACTTTCCCCACAAGGGATAGATTACTATTTTCAAGACTATGAAGGCTTATCATGTAGCAGAAGAATTAGACAACAGCAAAGGAACCCCAAAGAAAATCACAATTAGAATTGCAAATAATTAAAAACCAATTGCTGTCAAGTCTATTCTAACTCATGACAACTCCAAGTGTGTCAGAGTAGAGCTGTACTTCATAGGGTTTTCAGTAGCTGATTTTTTCAGAAGTAGATCACCACGCCTTTCTTCCAAGGCACTTCTGGGAGGACTCAAACCTCCAACCTTTTGGTGAGCAGATGAGCACTTAACCATTTGCACCACACAGGGACTCTGTAAATAATTACAGATGTTCATAAAACAGTTAGCTGCCTCAGAAGTTAGGTAGCTTCCTATCATTGGAAGTGCTTAAGGAGAACCTATAGGAATACCTGTCAAGCACACTAGAGAAAGCCTCTTACAGGGTTCATAAGGTTGAACAAGATCCTTTACAATTGCTAAGATCCTTTACAACTTCTACATTCTGATATTCTGAAAAGACACACTACCTTAATGTGCTCATTTCCTTTCATATGTGTGTGTGTGTGTGCACGTATGTTATGTGTGTGTGTGTGTGTGTGCGCGTGCATGTTGTATGTGTGTATGTGTGTATCTTTTAACATAATACTTAAAATGGTGCTTGGCATATATTAAGTACTCAATAAATATTACTTATATCATTGTCGCCATTATTTCCCCAAGGATATTGTAAACTAAAGGGCAGGGATGCCATCATAAACTTCTTTAGACCCACATAGCACCTAACTAACCCAGTAACTTTCATATACCAGATACAACAAGAAGTTTTTTTCTCTAATAAAGTATGTTTTCCTTAGCATAGAATTTGCTGTCATTTTAGATATTGCTATAAACTTTCATGAAAATACTACAGTACTAATATTTCAAAGAAAATTTAATTTATTTGAGGTTCTATTTTGAATATTAATTTTGAATAAGCTTCCACAGTGCAGACAGAAAAACCTGGGCTGTAGCCTCAATATATAAAGGATAAAATTTCTTATATGTGAAATTAAATTAAACTACAGAGGGAAAGTTATTCCATTCAACTATGACTTTTCAGTAAAAATGCACCACAATTTACATATCTTAAAAGGGATACACATAAACCACTATTATGACATATTTAAAAGAG